CAATTGAAATCGCCGCTGCCATCCTGCCTCGGCCTCTTGGTAATGTGAGCGAATTTGATCGCGAGAGCCTGCTCCGTGAACTCGATTGCTCTCACGGCGTTCAGGTTTATGTGCAGAACTAACTCTGGCGGCAGGCAATCCGCAATGTCTGCTGGGCGACGACGGTACGGCGACGATCGGTCGTTGCCACAAGAAGGAGGCATGACCACCGCCTCCTCGCCCTGCTCGCTCCAAGGGGCCCCCGTTGCTAGCAAAGCTACCAGGGCGTACCAGCACCTCTCCATGCCGACCGCAAGGAAACCTGGAGAAGGAAGCGTTTGCTGATAGGCGGAGCTAAGCTCACAGCCGAACCGCAATGCTGTGAGCCAAACTGGCAACAGCGACGACAACGCTGGAGCACCTAGGGATTTGGGCCAATCATGAGGCCCTTCATTACCTCGTGGCAATTCTTCCGAGCCTCCTGGGGCCTCACGCGAGTGCATCACACTCTGGGAACTTCTACCAGTGGATTCACCCAAACCTGCAGAACCCGAAGCCGCGCCATCTCGATCCGCCTTACTTCTGGACTTTCTTGGGGCGTTCTTAAAGCCCTCGTACGAGATGTCGAAGCCTCCTGGGCCTTGGCCGGCTTTTACCGAACCACTCACGTGAAAGCCTGCGTGACCGCACCACCAGAACTCCGATAACGAGAAGGAGGAGAAAGACGAAGGGCGGAACGACCGATTCAAATTCTACCAGGGGTCACGACTCATTGCAGGACGATCCCGAACGACTCACACACACGGAGAGGCCCGAACGACTCCCACTAGGCCGAGAAGCCCGAACTGCTCACGCCACGACGAGCCCGATCGACTCACACACAAGGAAGAACCCGAACGACTCTCACCAGGACGACGGGCCTGGACGACGGACACCACGAGGAGCCTGAACGACTCACACGCAAGGAAGGGCCCGAACGACTCACAGCAGGACGAAGAGCCCGAACGACTCACACCACGAAGATCCCAAATGTGTCTCATACCACGAAACGCGCCAACCACTCACACACAAAGAGGGGCCCGAACGACTCACACCAAGACGAGGCGCCCGAACTTGCAACACCCCGAGAAGCTCGAACGACTCCCACACAAGGAAGGGCCCCAACGACTAACGCCAGGACGAACGGCCCCAGGGACGCACAGAAAACTCCAGAAGCATAACACACGAACGAACGGCCCGAACGACTCCTAGAACACCCCCCAGCAAAACAAGGGACCCGGACGAGGGAGAGTAGGCCGACCCTTCAAGCCAAACGTGGAAATCGTCGGGATCATCGTCGAGGGAACACGAACGCGGCAGCAGCCAAGACGGCCGCCCGGAGCGAGAGGCAGGGTCGTCGTCGTCGTCGTCGTCATCGTCGTCGTCGTCATCGACTACTGACTCTAATACAAAACTTGAGAGAATATCGCACACGATTCAACATGACACAACGCAAGCAACACAACATGACATGTCTGAAACGTGCCACTCAAGAACCGCCAACGGAATGTAGTGTCCATTGTCAGCCATTCTACACTTAGACACCCTGTGAGAACCCTGGAAGATACCTGGAGCTGAACCAAACACAACCTTGTATAGTACTGTACCCTGAAAATCGAGGAAGCCTGCACCACTTTGGCAAGCTAGACCGCATGCCCCTGGATACCCTGAGGCAGGATACGCCTCAAGCCACTACATAGACTGTGACGGGATAGGCCGACGCTCATGTTGATAGCCTCGAGCTCTTCAATACCTGCAAGACCTCTCAGCGCACTGTACTCCTGCAAGAATTCGGAGAGCCTTCTACCTGATCTACTTTTTTCCGTTTTTCCATAAGACAAGGCGGTACAATTCAGCCAACACGTTGCGTAACGCTCCACGCGTCAACTGCACACGAGCGCGGCAAACGAAACTTGGAACTTCGACTCTCAGTCCTCGACATGAGCCTGTTCGACATCCAAAGGAAAAGTGGCGCACCCCTCTCACCCCCTTGGGAAGAGGAGGAGAACAACGTTCAACATCTGTGTGTCTTTCTGTGCTTTCTTGGTGTGAGTGTGTCTATGCGTATTTGATTTGCGAGTGTTTCTGTTTTGAATATATGCGTGTATATGTATGGAGGGGAATCAATGCCCTGATGTCGCAATAAGGATGGATCGTGCCGACAAAATCTCGAGAGTGGCGCGTCTCTGAGACATCTCGCGGTGACCGCCGCGCCTGCATGTCGCCGAGCGCTAGCCGCAACGACGTCCTGCTGACACGAAAGCGGGGCGAATGGAGAAGGATATGACATACATCATAAGCAAAAGTGGCGAGCCCGTAACCGTGATGGACTACGCGCGGTACTTGCGCACGCCAGCCACCTCGCGCCAAAAGCACAGTAGGCGCGTGCGTTCGGCTCGCAAGCCAAGTCACCATTGACGTGGTGGTCGTCGTCGTCGTCGTTGTCTCGACGTCGTCGTCGTCCTCTCGTCCTCGTCGACGTCGTCGTGGTGGGCTGAGCTACGCTCTCTACCCTCGCGGCGTAAGCCTCGCCATCACGTTCCAGGCCATGCGAACCGAAGTGCATCGCGCCGACCGCGCTGTCGAAGCTCAAAATGATGCGAGAACGCCGGCAACCGGCATTCTCCGCGCTCGCTCCAAGGAGCCCCCGTAGCGAGCAAGAGTACAAAAACGCACGGGCAATTCTCCATGCCAGCCGCAAAGATGATGCTAATAGGCGGAGACTGTTACGGGTAGGCGGAGCGAAGCTCACAGCCACACTCAAATACTGGGAGCCAGAATGGCAACGACAACGACGCTGGTCGGGAAAGATCGCTGGACTCGAAGACGACCGCCCTCTGTCTTGCCTCCCAACTCCTTCCCTCCCTCCTCCTCTTCCGACTCGTCCTGCTTCGGAGCAGAGGATACATGTAAAGGCAGACAGACACACGCTTGTACCAAACGACTGTCGGCATGCTTCGCTGGGATTCCTGTTCGGCGACAGTAATACTGCTACTGTTTCTACATGTACTACTACTACTACTACTACTACTACTACTACTACTACTACTACTACTACTACTACTACTACTACTACTACTACTAGTACTAGTACTAGTACTAGTAGTACTACTGCTACTACTACTACTACTACTACTACTACTACTACTACTCCTACTACTACTACTACTACTGCTACTACGACGACTAGTACAATTACTGCTGCTACTACTAGTACTACTACTGCTGCTGTGACTGCTACTCATATTAATACTACTGCGAGCACTACTACTTCTACGACGACAACTACATCTACTGCCACTGAAACTAGTCGTGTCGCTGCTACTGCTGCTACTACTACTACCACTACTCCTGCTACTGCTACTACTACTAGTACTACTCATACTACTTCATCTGCTACTAGTACTTCTACTATTGCAACTCCTCCTACGACTATTACCACTACTACTACTACTACTACTACTACTACTACTACTACTACTACTACTACTACTACTACTACTACTACTACTACTACTACTACTACTACTACTACTACTACTACTACTACTACTACTACTACTACTACTACTACTACTACTACTACTACTACTACTACTACTACTACTACTACTACTACTACTACTACTACCACTACTACTACTACTACTACTACTACTACTACTACTACTACTACTACTACTACTACTACTACTACTACTACTACTACTACTACTACTACTACTACTACTACTACTACTACTACTACTACTACTACTACGTCGACGACTCCACCTGCGAAACACCCGATCACCTCGCACGCAGACGAGGTGCCCGAACGCCTCACCTCACAAGCAGGATTGACAAGGAGGCGGGAGGAAGGAGGAACAGGGGAGATATGCGGAGCCCAGCGGACACACGCCTGAAAAACACAACTGTCGGCATGCTTCGCGGGAGTTGCTGCTGTGAGATGGGCTGGTGGGGGTACGCGAAGCGTAAAGAATTCACTCGGCAAGAAATCGCAATGCCGGCCAGGTACGTCGATGGCCGGCTGGTTGCCTCAGGGATCAAATGCCGTTATTTGTTGCGCGAGGCCATCGCTCTTATCTACCCCATCGATTCGATGTGCCCGCGGAGGCTCCTTTGCAACAACAGCTTGGCATGAACGTTTCGCATGTGCACAAACGTCCTTGCCTGCGTCCTGGGCCTAGGCTTGAACCAGAGCAACGGATGCACTCTTCCCCTATTCTTGCTTATTTACATCGACGTGGCGCCCGAGACGACGTCTCCATTCCTCCTCCTCCTCCTCCTCCTCCACCTCCTCCTGCAACCCTTCCTTTCCCTCCTGCTGCTCCTGCTGCTCCTCCTCCTCCTTCTCCTCCTCCTCCTCCTCCTCCTCCTCCTCCTCCTCCTCCTCCTCCTCCCCCCTTCGCCCTCTCTCCTCCCTCCACCCTCTTCCCTGCTCCCTCCTCCCTCCTCCCTCTTTCTCCTCGTGCATCTCTGTCCCGAACATCTGGCACCACGCTTGTTTGGTGTTTCCTGGACTGCTCGACCCCTTTCAGAAAGACTAAATCATTTTTTTCCGCCGGGCATTTCTTTGATTGCCCGGGCGCCCAGAATTGGCCTCCCAAGGGCAGGACGTTGACGGCTGGGGACGGGAAGCCCAGACATGATCGCGTCGTGAAAAAATCCGGACGGGCGGTTTTTGGCCAATTTCGGCACCGGGGGGGCCCTCGCCGGTCCCCAAAGCCACCCAAAAACGACTCAGGATGCAAAACCGGTCCCAAGGAAACTGGACTTCCGGGGACGCCGTTCTGAAAAAGTCAGGACGTCGCATGTCTGGGAAGTGGTTCGCGTGGCGCACCGAAGCGCGGTTCGGCCAGAGCCGGCACCGCGACTCGCTAAGCCACCGTTCCACCAAGCATCTTTCTTGCGTGGCGCAGGAGCCTTTCCCCCCTTTTCCTCGGCGCTGCTGCTGCCTCCCCTGCGGCGCTCTGGTGGTCCTGGGGGAACCGCTCCAGCGCGGACAGGAACCTCTCCCGAGGTATCTCTATCATCGAGCAGAGCGTCACCGCGCGAACCTCAAAGGGGAAGGGCAGAGGAGAAGAACTTCGGGCAGCAAGATGAGGAGATGACGATGATGGTGATGATGACGACGACGGTGACAATGACGATGGCGAGGATGGTGATGATGATGATGATGATGATGATGACGGTGATGATGATAATGACGATGATTATGATGCTGCTGATGATGATGTTGCTTATGGTTATGATGACGATGATGATGACGATGATGATGACGATGACGGTGATGATGCTGCTGATGATGATGACGATGACGACGATGGTGTTTTCTGATGACGGGCAAGATCCGTACCAGTAGCGGTGACGGAGGTGCGGCCGCGAATAGCTCAGAGACGAAACCTGAACGCGCGATCAAGACACGCTGACGATGTACATGGCGATGTGGTTGCTCTTGAAGTAGCCCCGGGAATGACGTGGGCGCCACTATCGAGTGAGATCTTCCCGTCTTCAATGATGTTATCGTACTTGCCCGTGCCCTGGCGAGTGGTCGCTAGTCGCAGAACCAGCCTGAGGCTCGAACAGGCCGCAAACAGCACGGCCGTCGACTAGACGTGCACGACTGGCCTTGCGCGCGACGCCGCAGACCTTGCCATACCCGACGACGTCGTTCAACGAGACAGCGACGCGCTTCAGCTTAATGGCGGGCAGCTCGAGGCGTTCGGGAACGCTGTGGGCCGTGTCGTCGTCAGGAGCCGCATCAGCACGTGGAAGATCCGCGACAACAGGAATGTGATCCGCACCAACACCCAAACCAGCCCCATCGAATGGACGATCCGCGACAACGCATATATATATATATATATATATATCCACGGCCGCCCGAGGTGCCGCGACATACTGGTAGTAGTGGTCGTAGTAGCAGTAGTAGTAGTGGTCGTAGAAAAACTTATAGTAGTAGTAATAGTATCAGTAGTAGTCGCAGTAGTAGTAGTAGAAGGGGTAGTAGTAGTCGTACTGGTAGTAGTCGTAGAAGTCGCAACAGCAGTAGCAGCAGCAGTAGTAGTAATAGAAATAGTAGTAGTCGTAGTAGTAGTAGTAGTAGTAGTAGTAGTAGTAGTAGTAGTAGTAGTAGTCGTAGTAGTAGTAGTAGTAGTAGTAGTAGTAGTAGTAGTAGTAGTAGTAGTAGTAGTAGTAGTCTCGCGTCTTCTCGCGTCTTCTCGCGCTAGTCGACCTGGGTGGCGGTACTGGGGTCGCCCCGTGTGCTGCTGTGTCGTTGCTGGCGCTTCACTCTGGTCTGTTAGTCCAACTGCCCACGGTGCGAGCGCCTGACGTTGCAAGCATGTCAGACACGCCCTTTCACCCAGAAGTGGTGCGCGCTACATACTGGCAATGAGGCAGCCACAAGGACGCTCTTCCCTAGGTGGTTGAGCCGTGGTGATGTGGTGCACGTGACTGCCAGTAGTAGTAGTAGTAGTAGTAGTAGTAGTAGTAGTAGTAGTAGTAGCAGTAGCAGTAGCAGTAGCAGTAGCAGTAGTAATAGTAGTAGTAGTAGTAGTAGCAGTAGTAGTAGTAGTAGTAGTAGTAGTAGTAGTAGAAGTAGAGGTGGTAGTAATAGTAGTAGTAGTAGTAGTATCGTCGTCGTCGTCGTCGTCGTCGTCGTCGTCGTCGTCGTCGTCGTCGTCCCGTCGTCGTCGTAGTAGTAGTAGTTAGTAGTAGTAGTAGTAGTAGTAGTAGTAGTCGTAGTCGTAGTCGTAGTCGTAGTAGTAGTAGTAGTAGTAGTAGTAGTAGTAGTAGTAGAAGTAGTAGTAGTAGTAGTCGTCGTATTACTCGTAGTAGTAGTAGTAGTAACAGTAGTGTAGTAGTAGTAGTAGTAGTAGTAGTAGTAGTAGTCGTAGTCGAAGTAGTGGTACTGGTTATCGTAGTAGTAGTAGTAGTAGTAGTAGTCGTAGTAGTAGTAGAGTAGTAGTAGTAGTAGTACTAGTAGTAACAGTAATAGTCGTAGTAATAGTCGTAGTCGTAGTAGTAGTAGTAGTCGTAGTAGTAGTAGTAGTAGTAGTAGTAGTAGTCGTAGTAGAAGTAATACTAGTAGTCGTCGTAGTAGTGGCAGAAGTCGTAGTAGTAGTAGTAGTAGTAGTAGTAGTAGTGGTAGTAGTAGTAGCAGTAATAGTAGTAGTGCTAGTAGTAAGGATAACAGTGACATTGGTAGTAGTAGTAATAGCTGTAGTAGAAGTAGACGTAGTAGTCGTAGTAGTAGTAGTCGTAGTAGTAGTAGTAGTAGTAGTAGCAGTAGTAGTAGTAGTAGTAGTAGTAGTAGTAGTAGTAGCCGTTGTAGTAGTAGTAGTAGTAGTACTAGTAGTAGTAGTAGTAGTAGTAGTAGTAGTAGTAGTAGTCGTCGTAGTAGGTAAGTAAGTAAGTAAGTAAGTAAGTAAGTAAGTAAGTAAGTAAGTAAGTAACACTAGTAGTACATAGCGTAGTCTTCGTAGCAGTGGTGGTAGCAGTTAAAGTGGTAGTGATCGTTGGAGGAGTAGGGGGAGGACGAGGAGGAGGAGAAGGAAGACGAGGAAAAGGAAGGGGGAGGAGGAAGGGGGAGCAGGTGGAGGAGGAGGAAGGAAGAGCAAGGAGGTGAGGGAGGAGGAGGAGGAAGAGGAGGAGGAAGAGGAGGAGGAGGGAAAAGAGGAGGAGGCGGAGGAGGAGGGAACATAGGAAATGGAGGAGCATGAGGAGGAGGGCGAACGGTTGCTGAAGCAGGAGGATCGGAGGCAGGGCCAATCCACAAAATCCGCGCGACCGTCGACAACGCCGATACTTAGAAACATCGATCGGGCCTGTCCCCCTACAGGGGGATTTTGGGCGAAAACAATAAACCAAACATGTTCAGAAAATGCCCCAAAAATTACTAAAACAAATCGTCCCCTGACTATTTTTTTGCTATTTTTGAATATTCCCCTGTAGAGGGACAGGCCCGACTTAACGATACTGAGAGCGGGAGGAGGGCCCTCTGCAGGACCCCCCTCCCCGCACGGCGGCCGCCGCGGCCGCGCCGAGGCGTGGGCCGAGGCGGTGCGCCGGCGGACGAGGCCGAGCATGGCGAACTCGCCGAAAATGTCGCCGGCAGACAGCTCCTCGGCTCCGGATTGCCAGACTCTGCCCTCGACCCTCCTTCTCCACTTCCTCGTCCCCTCCTCGTCATTGTCTCACTCCTGCGCCTCCTCCTTTTCTGTCCTTCCTCCTCCTCCTCTTCCTCCTCCTCCTCCTCCTCTTCCTCCTCTTCCTCCTCCTCCTCCTCCTCCTCCTCCTCCTCCTCCTCCTCCCCTCCCCCACATCGACCATTCCTCATTCTTGTTTTCCCAATCGAAGCTCAATGATTCCACCGTGTCGCACTCCCGGGAGTGGTGTCGGCAGGGCGGGCTGGGTAATTCGCTGAATGAAGTTTAGAGTTCTGTCCTCTATGATCCAAGAATTTGAAAGTTGCAACACATTCAGGGCGGCCTGTTTTCAAAATGCTTCCTCGCCGTAGCGCCGCGCACGTTCGTCTCAAACATTAAACCGGCTTCAAAGATGGAGGGCGGCCCGTGTTCAAAATGTGGCTGCCGCCCCAACGCCGCGCAGATTCCTCTGAACAGTTTACAACAACTTCGAGGATGGAGGGCGGCCTGTCTTCAAAGTGCTGCTCTCGCACTCGCAGTGTGCAAACTCGTCTTGGGCGTTTGCAGAAATACCAAGGATGGATGGATGGATGCCAGTTGTCAACATGCGGCCCTCGCTTTAGCGCCGCGTGCCTTCGTCCTACATGCTTGTTTCCAGGGTTCGCACGGTCGAAGTCCCAGGGGTTTGGTTCTGGAACGATCCAGGGAGTGTCAGGAGGCAACAGTTATGGTAATTCGCGGCGCTGTCTCAAGAACAGTGCGTTGGCACGATTGAGGATTCTCAAACGTTTGTCTTCCGATGGGGCATTTCCCGCAATGCAATTCACTTCTGGTACGGACCTATAGAGCAAGGGAAATTCGAGGGAGAGTTTGTTGCAACATTGTTAATTCGTTTTGGGTTTGCACTGATCCTCCTCCTCCTCCTCTTCCTCCTCCTCCTCTTATCCCCCTGTTCCTTTTCCTCCCCCTCCTCCTCGACCTCCTCCTCCTCCTCCTCCTCCTCTTTCTTCTCAACCCTCTTTCCCGCCTTTCCAGCTCCGCGGCGACGGCTGAATCAGGAGTTCAGGGCCGATTGGAACGCATTTTCAAACTTTTTGGGCTCATCGGGCCTCCGGAAGCCTCCGGGGGGACTCTGGGGACCTCCAATTGGATCACCGTGGAGATCGCTAATGGCCAAGAGGGTTCCAAATCAATGATAGCCGGGGTTGTATCTGGCCAAGCCAAGCTTACAAGTGGGTTGCAAGTGGCCTGAAAGGCTCAGTGGTATCAGCTGCCAGGTTATGTAGGCTCCGACCAATTCGTCAAATTATTTAACCCCCTAGGTCACATAGGGCACTTGAGCGACGATCAAAAACGGATCTTACGCGAGATGATATAGCGGCCTTGCGCCGCAGCCTACGCGGGCCGCGTGCGCGGCACGCCACGTTGGAGACGAAGGCGCTTTCGCGCGACCGTACGCGGGCAGCTTACGCGCCAATGCCGCCGCAAAGGACCTCGTTTCCTTGAACCGCCCAATTGTTGTTCACTTATATGCCAGGACGGGCCGGGCTCAACCCACTATAGCATTCGATTCGACCTCCCCGTGCCCCATGAACCTCCGCGCTGCTCCATGTGGGTACCAAGCTTTGCCCTCGATCTTTGAGGGCCGAGAGGGGGCCGATGTTATCGCACGCTGTTGGCCCCTGGAGGCCTCTGGGGACCTCCAGAAATCCTCCTGAAACCTCCTGGGGTCAGAACCCTGGGCGTGAGCAGGCCTTGCCAGCTCTGAATTGCACATGAGCCGCCGAAGGAATTGCTGCCGACGGGCGCGTGCGCAAGCGTGCATACGTCTGGCGATTCGCAGCCGCCGAGGCTCGGACCCACGAGCTGCCCGACGCGTCCTAGAGCCACGCACAGCCACGCACAGCCACGCACACTGAAACACGCTGCGCAGGCACAGCTTGAGAGCTCTTTGGTTTCATCGTCTCTTCTCGCGCCGCGGGAAGCATACCAGTACGTTCACGCACGGCGGGGTGCGGGGGGGGGGACAGAGAGAGAGGGAGATAACAGAGGGAGAGAGAGAGAGAGAGAGAGAGAAAGACAGACAGGGGCAGAGAGAGAGAGAGAGACCAGAGTAGCATCGGAATGAGTTCTCCCACCGGCTAGCGGCCGCCAGCCACCGCGGCCCTCGCGCTCCCGCGAGCAGCCTGCCTCACGCGCTGCGCCGGAGCAGCACTCAACCGGGCGGCGCGGAGCGCAGCCCGCGCAAGCGCCAGCGCATCGTCGGGCGGCACGAATAGCTCCTGCCGCGACGAGTGGTAGAAGTAGGACGCAATGACCACGTGCTCGAACCGCTCGGCGTCCAGCGGCTGCTCGGCCGCGGTTCCCAGGCCGAGCCATAAGAGAGGCCCTCCTTCGATTGAGCGGCCGCCAGGCAGCACCCTGCCCAAGGCCGGCGAGACAGCCCAAGAGAGGCGGTCGCAGTTCACGTAGTGGCTGAAGCAATCGGGCGCGTCGCAGCCGAGGATGCAGGAACGGCGCCCCCGGGCATCGAGGCTCCTGTGGGGCGCGAGCCAGCCGCTGGAGAACGAGCGGATGACCTGGAAGGCCCAGGCCGGCGACGCCGTCGAGACCAAGTCCCCGAGCTGGCCCCGCGGGATGGCGTGTATCTTCTCGGCCAACTCTGGCCACCACTTCAAGAGCCGCCGCTCGAATGTCTGCGACAGGTCGTGCCTTTCAAGCCAGGCCGACTCCATCGCCGCGTGCGCGCGCTGCTGCGCCATGGGCCTCCTCCCCCGCAGCCCAGCCCCCTCCAACTCCTCTAACAATGCCTGGCGCCCAACCGTCAGAAGAGCCCGCGGGTGGCTGGCTCCCTCGGGCAACGCAGCGATCCCCAGCGAGGCGGCCATGAACTCCGCATACGAAGGCAGCTTCCACCAGATGGGAGCCAGCGCCCGCGAGGAGGCCATCGGCAGCGGCACGAAGTCAATGGCGCCTTCCACTCGGCGCCGGTGTCGAGAGAGAGAAGCGCTCGGAACTTCGAGAGCGTAACGCCGGCGGCCCGGAAGAGGGCCGACACCGTTGCGACCTGCACCGACTGCACGCGCGGGCCTCCCCACCCCTTCACCTGAACCCAATCCTTCACCGCGAGGGCACCGATCGGCATTTGAAGACCTCGGCCAAGGCCGTGGGCTCCTCGCGCCAGAGGTTCCACGGGAGCGGCAAGCACTGTCCGACATGCCCCAACACGGGGAGGACCCTCGTTGCGCAGTACCAGGCCGACATCGTGACGGAGGTGACACACCGTCCCCAACAGCGCGAGCGCGTTGCCTGTACCTGCGCCAGGGGGCGCGCCAGGCGATCTCCAGCGTCACTGCGGGGCCAACCCACAGGCCCAGGAAGAGGAGGCAGGGCGCGACCTTGAAGTCCGCCCACTGCGGCACTTGCTGGGCCAGCATCGCCTGGATCTTGGACTGCAAAGGCTCGCTAAAGGCCGCCTCCGTGGGAACCACGTGGCACTTGCTCGGCTTCAAGACCAGATTCGCAAGCCTGTCCGCGCATCTCATTATGCGGAGCATGCGCAAAATGTGCGCGAAGGCGACCAGCACAGCCGCCACGTCGTCCGCGCAGGCTCGCACAATCCAATGTCGCTTCTTCTCCACGTCAGCCGCGGCGTCAAAGAGAAAGGGCGACATGGCGACGGCGAAGAGCGACCCCGAAAGGCCGCCGCCCTGGATGATTCCAGAGCGCTGCCAGAAGAGAGGGATCACAAAGCCAGCATTGGCCGTCACCGCAAGCACCGCCGCATACATCTCAATAGCGAACTCGATCGCGGCCTCGGGGAAGCCGAACCTGCGCAATGCCATAACCAAGAAGAGCTGGTTCAGCGATGGGAACGCCTGCGCGAAGTCGAAGCTCACCGTGATCGGCGACTTCTGCACCGCGTCAGGTTGAGCGCTGTGCCACCGCGATTTCAGGTCCACCTCCAAGATGTTGTACCCAAAGTTCCGCCCCCGCACTAAGCCTCTCTGGGAGAGTGGGCTGATCTTCGCCAGCGGCTCCTGCAGCGCCACGTTCGCCGTGGCCGCGAGGATCTTGCTCGAACAGTTGCGCAAGCCCAGCGCGCGAACTTGGTCGGGGGGCCTGGCGCAGCGCCCGTCGACACCATCGGACTCGTCCTCGCCCTTCGGCAAGATGGCGAGTAGCGTGATGGACTCGGCGTCGAAGAGGCCCTGGCCCGAGTGGAGCCAGCAACACGCGGCCCACAGCACCTCAAGACAGTGCGGCGACTCCGCCCACGCACTGTAGGGGGGCCCGTCGATGCCTGGCGCCGAGTGCGTCGCCTGACGCGCCACCTTCACCATGAGCTCGTACGATGGTGGCGGCACGGTCGAGAAGTCGAACGGCTTGATCATCCTATCTACGTACCTCTGCGCGCCCAGAGGGGCCCAGGCCTTGCGCGAGAAGACGGGCGCCCAGTAGCTGGACAAGGCAGCAGCCCGTGCTCGAGGCTCCGTCGCCGCCTCGTCGCCCACCTTCACCGCCGCCAGCGTGACGCAAGAGGCGAAAGGCGACCACATCTTCATCTTCCGCTCCAGGGCGCGCGCCTGGCCACGGGCGGCCGACGCGCGATGCCCGCGCGCAGCAGTAGCCGGGAGCTCCTCGCGGTCCGCGCCGAGGATCGAAGAGCGGGCGTCGTTCGTCCAGGCTGCAAAGACCTCCGGCTCCAACAACGTGACCGCAGACTCCGTGACGTGCAAATGGTTGGCGGCTACCTCGAACTGGTCGCGCAGCCTCCTGGCCATGGCCGCGTCCTGGCGCCGGATCACCCTTGCCATCATGCGGGCGACCTGCTGCTGGACGAAGGCAGGCAAAGCTGGTGACCCTGCGAACCCGGCAGAAGACGACAGAGGGTCACCGGCGGCAAGCGGGGTCGGTGACCTTGCCGACCGGGCAGCGGGCTCCCGAAGGTCACCGGCGAGAGGCCGCCCGAAGCC